TAACCTTGAAAGTTGCTGTTTATCCGTAGTTCAGCTCCCGAGTTTCAAAACTAAGCTCAGCAGTCTATAAACAATTCCCCATCAAATGTGGCGTTACATCAGAATTTATTGTTTCTGAAACTAAAAATGAAAAAAAAAGCATTTTGGAAGATACATACCTACTTCTAAGAGGGGGTTTGGTACTTATTGCAAAATTAAAATCAAATAACGTAATTTGACAGTTTTATAAGAGCTTGAATTTTTTACGAGAATACATCTTTCGTAAAGTTGTAAATGCAGATTTTTTGTGAAATATGAGTTTGTTATTAGCATTCAATATATCAGCAACAAATCTTTATTATCTCATTATCTGTAAATTTGTAATAAAAGTTTCAATTTCAATTTAGAAGAAATACGACGTTCGTATATATACGAAATTTTAACTTTTAAAATGTCAAGTTGTAAATTGAAATTGAATTAGATGCCGATGCTTTGGATTCAAATTTAGAGTTATAAAGGTAAGCGCTCATTGAGTGGAGCCGAACGATTCGCAATTAAGGCTGGACAGTACACCCGTTCCGTTGCCCGAAAACGCGTGATTTCGTTCCACGATATCTTAATTCTGAGTGAAGTTGAAGAAGGGGTCGAATATTCCTGTGAAAGGTGAATGCTTTAGCTAGACAATAACGCCGGGGTTTACTAAAATGTTTTAAAATAATCTTTTTTTAAGGGCAACGTCGAGGGCTGTTAGGGTGTCATATTTTGGAGAAGAAAAAAGGAAATAAATTTTCCTGGCGTTATTGCCTAGATATTAAGTTTACGAACGTATCTTAATTTTGGAAATTGTTCCAACTTCATTTATAGATAAGTTATCTTGGAAAAACAACTTAAAAGTTTTCCTCAAAAGCGCGAAAAGATAGCTTCCGCCGCGTGGCTGGTTTTATACAGATAGAAAATGTGCATTATTAAATTGGACTAAGTTTATGTTTTTACCATCGAACACAAATTAATATTATAAATAACCAAATTTGGGGATTGACAATAGGCAACTTTACATACTCCGTTCTGTATGTACTGTCCAGCCTTAACGTACGAATGGCATGTTTTAATCGGAGTTTTGCGGTCAGGTGTCTAGTCACAAAGGGAATTCTACGTAATATTTTCTCTTTTTTATTACATTAGAAGTACATTCTACTTGTTCAATATTTGCATTGATTGTGTACGTTTGAAATCGGTCTGTAGCATTGTTGTGCCTTTGATTCATCATCGCCGTCGTCTGCCAAATCATCACTAACGCACTTACTCTATTTGCAGTATTTTATTTAGATTTTAAAACCTATTTCTGAATTAAATTAGAACTAGGTAGTTCTTCGCCAAAGTTTACAGCTCTAGTTGTGAAACAATAAATTATTGAGTTAATAAATTTTCGAAAAAGTCGTACTATATAAGCAAAACTCGGTCGTTGTTAAACAATCTGGCGCTTAGATCGTGTATTTAAAGTGACATTTTGCTCAGGAAAAAACTCAAATAATAAGCGGAAAAATTAGAGCGTGTAGGGTAGTGGGATTTGGTTTTTGAACACAAACAACAATTCGATTTATTTCTTCCAAACTTTGACGCAAGTTTTAACCGCGGTAAGGGTAAATACAAGCTTCATTATCCTGAAAGTTTCTATACCAGAAGAGGTTATTGTGTACCAGAGCAATCACAAAAGGGTTCAACTGTATCACTCCCAAAGCGATCGAGTTTTTAATTTTTCTTGGAGGGCCCCTTTTTGGTGCATTTCCACAAAAATAAAAAAATGCGCTATTGTGGCCACTTTGTCCGTCCATCCGTTCGGACGCTACTAGTTCTTTACCTTAAGAGCTATTATTGTACTTTTTCGCTATTTGGTTCGTTATGGTGTCGAGGTTTACACCAAGGCAGGAATTTTTTTCTGCGTTTATTGCTAATAAAGTTATTGTAAAAAAAAAACAAAAAATCATTTTTTACATGCTGCATAATTTTACACTTTTGCCGTTTATTAACGATCCTCGAGATCGTTTATAATTTTGCATTGCTGGCTGTCGTCTGTCTGTTCGCTTGTCCATCTGTTCCCATGTCTGTCTGTCCATCTATCTGTCCGTGTAAACGAATCGATTCAAAATTCGCAGTGCCCTGTTCGCATCTCGACCATTTATAAACCGAATTGCAAACTTTTTTATTTATATAATAGTTATTTATATAACAAGAGCGCGAAGTTCAATTTCGCGCATTGAGACTGAAGGTATTTTGACGAGGCGAAGCCGAGTTAAAATATCAGTCAAATGCGCGAAATAACTTCCCGCTAGCGTTATATACAATATTTTTTCTACAACTGAACCGATTGTTAATTAAATTGCTGTTTAAGTTCAACTTTGTCCCGTGCGCG